GGGCTACAGGACAGCAGTGAGATCTGCCAACCTGCACTGACCCACATCATTCTACACTGGGAAAAACCCCACTGCATTTTTGATGAGCTCAGGGCTGAAGGCTGATGTTTGAGTGCCTGTTTTATTTGAGTGCCTGTCTCCAGTTGAAATCATTGAGACTTCAGTGGCCTAAACAACTGAGAGCAAGTTAGCCATGTTCATCTGAAGTTGGGTAAAAGGCAGGATAAAGTTGTACCTTACATACTAACCAAATCAGAGATGTGTAAGCACAAGCTTTGGTAAGCAGCAGGCCTGCTTCATCCAATGCTGTGAAGGGACTGCAGGAAGCAGGGCTTCTAAATATAAAGCAGGGATTCAAATGAAAAGCACAGGGAAGGGGGGGGGCAAAAAAGGGGGCACTGCTGAGAGAGGCAAGATGGGTAGGAGAAAAAAAGAAATAAAGCAATTATCCCATTGAAGGACACAGGGCTTAGAAAAGCTAATCTAGGTAATGGGATAAGCACCCATTGTCTTGGTTTAGATCAGACGTGGGCAAAATGCGGCCTGTGGGCCAGATGTGGCCCACCAGGCCATTCTATCTGGCCTGCTGGGCCCCTAAAAAATGTAGAAAATTAATATATATCTTCCCCTGGCTGCCTGTCATGCAGCCCTCGATGGCTTGCTGAAACTCAGGAAGCGGCCCTCCGCCCAAAATAATTGCCCATGCCTGGTTTCAACCAAGCTACACATCTCTTATTTAGTTAGTCTATAAGGGCCCCTCTGCACACGTGCATGGCAGGCGGCATGATTTTGCAATTATGCATTAGATCCCATCATGCCTTATTGCCAGTGCTGGGGAAGCCCAATCCCAGGTTCCCCCTGCAATGGCAAATATAACAGCTTCCACGATCTCCCAGCCCCAGGGGTTTCACACACTTCCAGGGCTGGGAGAAGCCCACCCCCGAGGGCTCTACACACCCCCAGGGCTGGGAGATCTCAGCTGCCCCTCATGGCTGCTGGGATCCAGCTTGGTCCTAGCGCTCAGAAGTATGCTGCTAGGACCCAGAGTCAGCAGCTGCTGGGTCTGAGAGTCCCCTCAGTTATCGGACTCCCAGCCCCGGCTGGCCATGATACGCCCCTGCTACACATGCAAATGAAAGTACAATAGCAACCAGCTATAAAGATAGTACATATTTTTGAGGTCTAACTTTATAGCTGGTTGTTGGAGTTTTTTATGGTATAATAGGAACTTTGCATGTGTCGTTGGTCTCAAGGTAATTGCACAATTAACCAGTTAGTTGTGCAATACCTTTAACATGTAGAGGGGGCCTAAGATGCAAATCTACTCTGTCTTCTGCCTAAAGAGGAAATTCATGGACTCTAGCCCTAACCTTACATAATGTCTTTGCAGCTGTTAGGGAGCAGCTCTCAGAGTCTAAAAACATGTTCATAATGGTAAAAACATTGGGCGCCTCTACCCGAGTGCCGGGACTGCTCTGTTGTGCTGGAATTCCAGTGTGTCAGAGCAGACTCAATCGAATCTGCTGGAGCGTGGCAATTGCTGTCTTCCTGCATCCTCCTGCGTCTCGTGTATCAGTATTCCCGCACATAAAAATGGCAGCGGGGGCGCTTGATTTAAAGCTCATCAAACAAGCTTTAGTTCAAGCACTCCTGCCGCCATTTTTAAGCACAGGGACACTGATACAGGAGACAGGGTGGCACATTAATTAGAGTGGCTCTCAGAGTCACTCTAATTAAACATGGCCGCCCCCCTCCCCTCCCCCCAGCACATGTAAAAGTGCCCATTTTAGTATCATAATGCTTAGGGTCGGAAGGGACCTAAACAGATCATCAGGTCCAACCCCCAGATTTTGATCTGTTGTGATCTTTCTGAATTCTGTGCAACAGAAAAAAACTCTCTTTTATTTTCCCACAGTCAAAAAACCAAGATCTGGCCTGTTCTGAAGGGTGCCTCGTGTCTCACAAGAGATGCCTCAAATCTACAAAGGTTGAGAACCACTGTTCTAGATACTCGTTATGTGTAAAATATAGTTTTCTCCTATTCTCTTTCACCTTTAGAGGTGGACTGGTGTAGTCATGGTTGCATACTGCCAAGATGCCTTTTCATTGTGGAGCTTGTTCTGCTGCTTCTGTGCTATATTTCTTCTGTGATAGAGGACCTCTCTCAGGTGCTGGCAGCAAACCAGCACCTTTCACTAGTATTATGTGCAGTGTACAAAATGGGAAGTCCGTTTACCTTGACTAGTTCTGCCCTTTACAGGAAAAATGGAAGACAGATCTCAGACATCTCAACAGTCAAGGACTGCTGCTTCTCCTTTCAAAAATAAAGTAGTATGTGCTGAATAAAATAGAAGCTTAAATATAAGTGTGTTATAAAATAAAGGGGGATCAAATATAAGCCTCTGAAGTAATAAAAGCTACAGTATGCCTAAAAGTTGCATCGTCTTCCATGACAGGCCGCTGTGTCTACACATTCATTGCCTTCTGAAAACATTTCTTTTTTGGATCTTACCCTTTCCTGCCTCAATTCAACCTCAATGCACTGGTGATGTCTGTGTTCTGTCTTTATTAGGAATGTAAAGAAAATCCATCTATAGTTGTAGATGCATAGAAAAAAAATACATACTAAAATTTAAAACTTTACATTTCACCCCCTAAATTTACATTCTTAAGTAGTCATACCTGCCTAGAAACAAGGAGAAGATTATGTTCCAAACGCACTGTGGGGAGAGCAGTTACGAAGCAAGAAAAAAATATGGTACACTGGGCACATCTACACATGCATTAATGCACCTTTGCTACTGTGCATTAAATTTAGTACCTCTAATATGAAGTGCTACATAAACAACATGCAATAGCCAGTGCTACTGCACAGTGGCAGAGGCACGTGGTCTTTTTGTGACACTTAATGCACCATAAACTAGTTCTGCACACTAGCGCATTAGCACAGCTTCTGCTGTGACGCACTAATGTGCAGTAGAATTAGTCTACTGCGCATTATGCATCTTGTGTAGATGCGCCCACTTGTACTCTTTCTAGCTACTTAGAATAGCAGAGTAATGTAGCTACCAAAGCAGTGAGTTTAACAAGGGAAAGAAAGCAGTGGGACTCATTCTTAACTAAGTCAGTGGGAGGAATATTAAAATATGCAGTGAATTGGAGAGGACATATTGTGGTTACTCTGTGAAGGATGTCTGCTTCTATTGAATAAAATCTTGTTTTGTATTCTAAGAAATGTTCTTTAAAATTTAGAATGAGTTCCTGGCAAGAATGATAAAATGGTCTGAATCTGTGAATTCAAGTACTGAAGATGATGCAGAAGTAGGAATATTCTTTCCGACAGAAAGTGGTGTCTCATGTAGCTTTTTTTCCTAAGAAATATTGGCTTTGGCTGGACGTTAATCTCCTGACTGAAATTTATGGAAAAATTAGATGTTTCTCAGTAAAAATTCATAAGGGAAGCAAGCATTTGATCCTTTTATCTAGCTAACAAAAAGGAATTATGACAACCTATGGAGGTAGCAAAGTCTTATTTGCGGTAGATTGGAAGAACATGGCAGGTTTCTTTAAGGAACAGATTTCCTGATGTTGTGACAATAGCCTTTAAATTATCCCCAGCATCCTGTTCTCTTTCAGGTGCTTGTCCATGCACATGTTCTGCCATGGGTGTGCCTGTACTCAAGTCCTTGAGCTTGGAAACAATTTTGCCGTGGCGCACACATGCTCTGCATCTCCTCTGTTCTGTGCCGAAGGCATAAAGGGCAATGCACATTCCCTTCTCAATCCCATGGCTCATGGTGGAGCTTCTGCAGTGATCCAGGCTGTGTTTTTTGGCCTAAAGGTGCTCTCAGAAGTCTTTTTGTGAGACCAGACACTCCCCTGGTCTTAGCCATGGGGCTTCTCTTGTAGAGCAAGGCTTCATGTTTCCCTTCACTTCAATCAGGCTCCCTCCCTCTACCCTCTACTAATACAACTTTCCCCATGCTGCCTGGTTTAAAGCTATGTCCATCTTGCATTGTGAAGAGATACCTGACCCAGCTCTGCATATGTAGCTGTACTAATCCAGGGCTCCCCCATGGCTGTGCTGAGAAGTAGGGCTTATTAGCCCTAACAGAGCATCATGCCAGTTCACCTGTAGCACTCCCATTTCTGGAGCTGCTATGTGCAGAGCTAGCTTGTGGGAGTCACACATGGCACTGCCTTGCACCTTGAAACTCCAGCGCATGATTTAGGGTATTCTCAGCTACCTTGTGATATCTCTGTGTGGCACTATGTTGTGGTTGGTGAGTATTTAAGTGCCTCTGTTATTCAAGGGCATGTCGACCTCCAGGGAAGTGCCTTGTTTGTAAGTAGTTCACTTCCCTGGGGAAAAAAAAAGAGTATGAGGCTGGATTTCAGGTTTACTGCCTTGACCGATGGGGTCAGCTCCCACTCCCAAGCCTAAGACTTAGCTGTGCATGACTCTCCAGTGGTGGGGGGCTCCCTCTAGAGAAGTAGTCCTCCAGTCACTTTTCATCTAAGACATGCCTCCAGATAGAGTGGGCTCTGCTTTGGTACCATCCCCACTGGACTAACCGTATAAATGAGCACTCAAAGGAAAGAGACAGTGCTTACCAGTATTTCCATCCATTTCCCTTTCTAAAAGTACTTCTAGGCAAGACTCTCTTCATTTATGGTGGACTAATGTTCCTCTGTAAAACCCTGAGAAGCGACACCCTTATTTAAATACTTGCATACCTCTAATTGAGAACTTGTGGAGAGATGGATGTGTCAGTTGGATCTTAGATCACCAAGCACGTCTAGCACTAAAGAGACTATAACGGTGTTGTTGAAACTTTTCAGTGTGATTTATATTTCTTTTACGTATTGTCTCGCATTCCCTTTGTCTTTTACATCGACACTCTAAGAGGCAGGGGCTGTGCTACTGAAAACAAATAACAGTGGCTTTTTCATTAAAGTCAGCTTAGAGGATTCAACTTGTATCTTTGTTCTTTTAATAGCTTGCACAGACAAGGAGCTAAGGAATCTTGCTTCCCGACTAAAGGACTGGTTCGGAGCACTTCACGAGGATGCCAACCGCGTCATCAAGCCAACCAGCTCAGACACAGCGCAAGGCAGTAAGAAAACACTTTCTAAAGTTCTGGGCAAGCTCGCACCGTCTGTCGCCATTCCCGGGGCAGAGCAGTTGTTGCAATCGCTGGTCTTGATCTATAGTGTCAGGGACCCAGAGGCAAGCAGACTAACATCGAAACAAGCACTGAGAAGCAAGTGTGGTAACATCATATAAAGGGCTTTGTCCTGAGAGATGCTGAACAGCTGCAGCTCATGTTGATCTCAAAGAGAGTTACAATTGGTCACTGTACTCTCAGCCTATATGGTTTTAAAAGCAGACATTGTGAGACTCAGATGCACACAATTTGGTTTAGTTGGTCAATCTGCTGTTAAGTCCACAGACTATTCAGGTACTAGTCAAGCAGATGACAACACTTTTTCTTCACATTGTCTGATCAGAGCCAAGATGCAGTATATAAGCAATAAGGATTTAGTTAAAATACAACATAAAGGAAGTTATACCAGGGCTTTAAAATTGCTTAGGCTTCATTTTGCTATACCCGGTTAGGCGTACCTCACAGAAATGACAATGGGGTGGAAGTATCTAAAGGACAAGCATGGGGCTGGAGAGACTAGCTGATGGAAGGCAGGAAAATCTGAATATTGCATGTGCTGGGAAAAGGTGTTAGCAGACATTGCTCAGGTCCTTAGTCCACCTTCTTCGCATCTGCTCCTTTTAAAGAAATGAAGCAAAATGAATAATTGCAAGGATGTTTATTCCCTATGGGCAAAACCAATATGACTGATTTTGATGTGCTTTACCCACCAGGGAGGGAAAGACTCTCGCAGTGGTTAGCAAAGGAGGTCATGCTCATTAAACAGCTGAAATGAGCTTGTCTCCTCTTAGGTCTGTCACGGTGAGGATAAATGTTATGAGCAAAAAAGGTATAAAATCCTAATGGTTTTTGGATTGCAGGCGTGGGTTAAGAAACTCTGCTTACTTCAGTCCCTCCACCCACCACAATTCTGCAAGAATGGGTGGTGAGGAAGGGCAGAGAGAGTGCCAGTTCACTGCTGGGTCCTCTCACCACCCTATCTTATGATGGCATCAAGAGCTGCACACCAGTCTGCTGCCTCTTACTCTGGAGAGCCTATCTAGCCTGCAGCAGAGTGCTCCAAACTGCAAACAGAGTTTGTATAATGCAGAATAATTATATCAGATTTGTGTGATACAAGCCAAACGCACAAATAAGCTCTCTTGATAACTCCCATGTCCATACATTTCCATACATTTCCAGCTTATTTACAGTTACACATAAATGGCCATGCATGTAGCTTTAAAACACTGGGAGCTTCTTATTTCTTAAAGAGCATAGCAAAGTAATGAATTTATTATGGAAATGTAGCCAAACAGTTGTGCAGAGAGGCAGTTTGGAACGAATCTTGTAATGGCTTGAGGAAATGAATTTACATCAGGTCCAAGGGTATTTTTCCCCCTTTAAAGATCCAAGGACATAAGCTTTCTCCTGAAGCCCTTAGGGACCAGAACTAGACCGAGGCTCTAAATCTTGCTTTATTAAGATATCGAACGACACTCTCTGCATAGATGACTTTAGAGTTCTGCATAAAGAGGTGCCAAGGGCTAAAGACCAAACTGGTTCCTCAGGATGCTTAAGTTTGGATGCCTCAAAGCAATTTCAGTAGGGAAACCTCTTGTCATCTTGTGTTCATTTAGTTTGCTTCCACAGAGCTTGTATGTCAGAGGTTGCCTTGGTGATCTCATGGTTCATCTAAACAGCCATTCATTGGTACACTAATGACCTACAAATTTGGCGTATTTTCCAGATTTTGTTCCTTATATTATTGTTCTTCTTGTGCTTATTACACAAACTGCTTAAGAACTGGCACGCCTAAATCTTTATGGCAAGCCACAAAAAGTGAGCCTTTTCTATTTATCTGCAAGTTAATCCTTATACAGGACAAATTCTACACCACTAATTTTCCCTGGTTGTACTGAAAATACACATAAGGAAAATCTACATGTTGCCCTGCGGCACCGTTGTTACAGCGCTGTTTTTAGTAGTTCCTTTTGGAACCTGTACTGCACTCTGCACGTGGCACACGGTTAGTTTTCACCACAGCAGGAGCAGTAAAATGGGGGAGCATGCCGCTACAGCAAAGTAGGTGTCAATCCCAGGCTCATAGTGATCTCTACATTGCCACAGCATGTCATACGGTGATGTAGCGCACCTCTACAGTGACAGGGGGATGTGCAGGCGTGCCCATAGAGTAAAGGCATCTGGATTTTTCCTCATCTAATGTCAACTTCAAACATTTCTGAGAATAAAGAGAATCTAAAATGGTTCTCAACATTCAAAGCAAAATTCAGGGGGGTCTACATACTCGCCACAGACCAAAATGGAAGCAAGTCTTGACCTGAATTCATGCCAACATATGAAGCACTGGAAACCCTGCACTACCTTCCTGATGTATGCACAATCCATTTTATTACCCTGTTTATGGTCCTCCCCCTTCCACAACCTGATCACTGCACTAAATTGAACCAGTTTGGTTATGCACATGGAGATTTAAAAGGCATGTGTATCTTAAAAGTAATCCATTTTGGGTATGCCCCCGTGGCAGCAGAAGGAACAGATGGTGGAAAGAGATGACTAAGATGCCTTGGACACATCAGCTGTCTAGAAAAGGTGCTTCCAGCGGAGATTTCTCTGTGCTACATTAAATTTTCAAGATGCTACTGTGAGGGAGAATAAGCTCTTTGAATGCGTTAAAATCACCCTCGGGTGAAGCGGGTGGGGAGGAAACATTCACTCCTATTTTTTTTTTTCCTTTTGTGAAAGGAAAAGAGGTGGGTAACTGTACTGTTTCAAAAAATAGGTCTTCATTCAAGGTAATAGCTGCCTTTGGGCATGTCTACACATCACCGTATGGCAACATTGCTATGGCGCTGTGCTTTAGCACTTCCTTTTGGTCAGCACAGTAAGTGCCCCTACTGCATCGTGCACATGGCGCATGGTTAGATTTCACTGCTACGTTGTCGTAGCGGCACATTACAACGGGGGAGCGCACTGCTAGTGGGCAATGTAGCTGCCAATGACGTGTAGACCCACATGATCGCCATGTCACCGTAGCACAGCGTACGTGTAGACGCACCCTTTGTAACTTAAACAAAACCCTTTGTGTTAGGGACTGTCTTCTTCTCTGTACAGCTGACATCACCTCCATAAATAATATTAATATGAGCACCTTGCAGCCATGCACTGAAATAAGGAAATAATAAAGCTAATTAGACACTAGGCTCAGATGCAAATTGCCCGTGGGGCTGTTGCTAATTTGTAAAGTTCCTGTATTCCAGATACCGACTCAGCTGGTCTGTTGGTAGGAATGGGAGTTGTTCTTCCTTTACAGTCAGCAAAGCTTGATGCAATAGAAAAAAGCCTGACTGAGGAATTCTTCTTTTCTTCCCTTTTTTTTTTTTTAATGATAATGGAAACTTGGTTAATTATTCCCTGTGTTAATATAATTGTAGTATAGTTTAATAAAGTAAACTTGGCTCAGATAAGTCATTTCTTGGAGGAAGAAAAGCAATTTATGTGCCAGCAGGTGTATTTATTTTTAATTAGGAATTTCACTTAAAGGATTTTTTTTTTTAATATTATTATTCTGAGGAGACGGCTTGCTTTAGGTATTAACGGAATATGGAGCCTTTCACATGGAGGTCGCCTGTTTGAATCCCTTCCAGGTTTGCAGTGAACGAAAGTTGTTAGTTCTTTGAACAGCTGTCAGATGGAGTGTAAAATGTAATGGTCTCAGTCCAGCTCCTAGCGAACAGGTGTCCAAATCAGAAGAACCACTGCCACAATTGACACTAATTGGCATCCTTCTTGGCAGTATGTGCAGAGGAGCCAAGAACTGAATGAATATGAAGTCGGTGCTATTCTCTCCAGCCTGCATAGTGACCATTGCAGGTCAGGGTTGAGACACAGGTAGGAGGGCATGAAAAAAAATTCACATAGCTGCTTCTGCCTGTTGTAGGGATTCACAACCAGGATGCCACGAGGTGCTCTGAGATCCTTTCAAGGGTGCCCTGAGTACACAGTGTTAGCACTGGTAGGTGTGCAAGCATGGTTCACAGGATAAACCCACAGATTTCAAATCGGCATCCGTAATATGACAAACATTCTGCCCTGTTGTGATCTTGCCGAGTTCTTTGCCACTGAAAAATTGCTCTAGTGTTTTTCTGTAGTCAAAAAAAAACAACTGAAAACTGAGCACTGGCATTTTCTGGGGAGTGCTTTGAATCTAAAGAGGGTTGCCCGGAGCTTCAAAGGTCAAGAACCGCCAATCTATTGTGTTGGTCTCCAGAGCTGAGTCTAGACTACTGGTTTTCAGCTTTTCTTTCATTTGTGGACCCCCTTGGAAATTTTGAATGGGAGTGCGGACCCCTTTGAATTGTAAGTGTGGGTATTCACATACTTTTGGTTGATTGTAGTCATCTTTCATGGACCCCTTTGACATCCACAGCCCACTGAAAACCAACTGGTCTAGAGCATTAAATGAAAACTAGAGTCACTACAGAAAGCCAATAAACCATCTGTCTGGCACGCTACATCTTTATAAGCAAATTTACCCTAAGACCTTAAGCTGCCTAATCTTACACTGGGGGAAGTGAAAATGGATTATGGAGCCCAAAGGGTTGTAGGCCCAAGCAGTGATTGCTCTGTAAAAGCAAGAGAGTACTGTGAACAGTTTCCTGCGAGGTGTTGAAGGCATCCCCACAGCAGGGTGGTGGATCTGCCTCACTAGATGCGAGTCTTACATTGTGAACCCCATGTACTTTACTCAGAGTCCATTTGAATTCCTGCAAGAGCCTCTTGGGAGGAACAGGTTTGGGTTTCAGCCTCTTTGGTTTTGACTGCAGCTACAGAATTAGCAGCAAAAAAATGTGATTTATTGGAAGTAACTTTTATCAAGAGGCAATTTGAAGCGGAGATTGAAACTGCTGTTGCATCTCACTTTCATCCACATGCTGAAAGGCCATTGTAGTATTAACCTTTTCACTAGTAATAGCCATCTATCCAAGGGTTTTCCAGAGCATCTATCACTCTAATATCTAAACGCTTACATATCCCACTCTCTCGCTTATAAGCTGCACTGTTTATTAGAGGAGACCCCCATAAGAAATGTTAACTTGTAAAGCCTGGGAGAGCGCCCTTGTTTGTTTAAAATTCCAACAGAAGAGTGTTCCTTAAACTAATATAATTAACTTTCTTCATAAGTGACCTTCCATAATTGCATCTCTGATGTGTCACAAAGCAGCTTCTTATCCGTATTAGTCATTATCTTACAATCTGCTCATTCAGCTTAGCATTGTCACCCACGTGCTGTTGCTGCTGCTGTGTCCCTGAGCACATGTTACATGGAAAGATAAAGGCCATACAAGAGGGAGGAGAGCAAAGTCATAGAAATTATACACGAATATCATCAGGGAGCAAGTGGGAGTATGAAATGCTGGCATCTGGTCCTGCCATGCCATTGGCTTTGTCCCTAGCTAAGGGCAAGCTCTCACTTACACACATGGAGGGTGGGCCCTGGTAGAAAGCAGCTGGATAGACTGGTGAACAGTCTGGACAAGGTATGCAGCACACCTTATAAATGCTTCCCTAACCAATAGGAACACCCCAACATGGCACTTAACCCCCTGCTCTTCCCTCCGCCTCCATCCAGAGCAGGAAGGGGTGGTCCCCTCTGCCCACCACAACCCTACTGGCCTTGCTGCGGAGGTCAAGCCGTGGCTCCAAACACATACTTTGGATTCTGTTTCCAGCAGTGGCAGAACAGGTGCACCTTACACACATACCTGCTGCAAATTATATGGAGTAGGAGGATTGCTTACACCAGCACCTCTTCTATCCCAGTGGTTCAGGTGCTTGCCCAAGGAGAAGGAGAGCTATGGTCTAGGCCTGCCCTCCCTTCCGCCCCTCCCAATGATGGGGAAGGTAGAGCAGAGATGCATTACCCACCTCCAAGCTAACCACCATGGCATGAATGAGTATTGCTTCAAGGACTCCCCAGCCCTTGTCTTGAAGCCACCTGTGGCTCTTTATCAGTGAATAAATTGCTAGCTAATTTTACCCTCCAGGAATGTGGGAGACCTAGTGTAAAACCCACCACCATCTCTTGTTTAGGACACAGTTTCAGCCTCCTGAGGCACCCTTCCTCTGTTTCTCCTGGATTCACATACTTTCCCCACCTAGCTGCCCAGTGAGCCACTTCAAAAGAAGGGCTGGAGGAAGCTTTGGGAAATACCTACTCTGTAGTCTGCTTGTTAGACCAGTTGGGTTGGAAACAGGAACATGTAGATTCAAACCCTACTGTGGGCAAGTAGTCTAATGACTAGATAGTTGAATACAAGACCTCTTCTACCTGTGCCAGCTACTTGTGTTTTTTCCTGTAGGATTAACATGCATGCCTGAGCAATTCTGTTCCCCAGACACTCATACCGCCACAGTGCAGTCTATTGAACATGCTCAGTAGGGCAGCGCAAGGCAAGCACAGTTAAGTTGACTCCAAATGGTGTCTAGTTAAGTGGTCTCCAAATGGTGCCTAGAGTAGATGATGGGTTTTAACATCCTCTGAAGGGAATAAAAAAATCATCATCTTGCATGGAAAGTAGCATCACCTTCTTGCAGGAAAGGCAGGCACTGATTTACCACTTACACGCAGCTGGTTGTGTACTGGAGCGTGCGTGTGCAAGGTGCCCTGTGTATGTCCTCTAGGGAGCATTGTGGGCCTGCACAGCCCTCATTAGCATCTGTGTGTTGTGGGAGACTTCATAATCTGGAACGTTGTGTTTCTCCATTTCAGTTGTTCTCTTACCTATAGCTTGCCAGTATATTGCCCGGCACCCTCGGGATACTGTGAGGGTTAATTAACTGTGTGCCAAGCTTTGAAAAAGGAAGTAAAATGAGACCTGTTAAAGACTTGGCTTAAAAAATCCCAGGTTGGCATTTGGGTGATTAAAATGTTCTCCAAGAGTGTCTAAAATGCTGTCTCTCCAAGCCCTGCAGAACTACACAGGCATGCAGTACAAGTGTGCACTGTAAATACACTTGTACTCTCTCTCTGTGGTGCTGGTTACGGAAGACGGGAGTAGTCAGGAGCAGGCAGGGGTGCAGATGTACAGCCTTTTCAGCTGGTTTGCTTTTGTGGAGTTAGAAAAAACCATCATACTCCAGGGCTCCAAAGCACTGTGATGTTTTCAGAGCAGTTCAAACAAAAGAGGACCACCCAATCAGTCTTGACCACCCAGTCAATGAGAAGCACAGGTTACAAGAGGCCAGCAGGTGATTAGAGTAGCCACGTGGGCAAGAGCAGATCTGGGTGGGGCCTTGATGGAGCAAGACTGGATGGGACATGGCAGATGAAAGGAAGCTATGAAATAATGTGGTAAGGGAGTGAGAAATGGGCCTGGTAATCTCCTGGACATGGGCTTTGTGCCTCGAGATCCCTACACTTTGTGAGTCAAACCAGTTCACAAACACAATGCATGCAGCCTCTCTCATGGGACATCTGCAGCTCTACCTTCTTGAAGCAAACACATTACATCCACTTGCAAATGAGGGGGCGTGAGGGGTGGGACACAGGAAACAACGGCTTGGGTTAATGTTGAGTAAGGCTTGGGGACGCCCAACCTCTTTCCCCCTGCAACACGCCAGTGGCATTCTGCCCCAGAACTCGGATCAGGCTCCTGTCCGCTTTGACTTGATTCAACCCGTTCATTCATTCTTACTTTGCATGGATCACTGCTGCTGGGTAAGGAAGGGTTAATCTGAGAAGACATTTGTTCCATATTCCAATTAAAAGACCCAGCAAGAGAAATAATGCTGTAATTTCCAAATGATGCATGTAGGAGGCTGTGTGTTGTGACTCAGCAGGGGGTTGTTTATCTGTGCTCTCCTAGGGTTTGACACCAGCATACTACCCATCTGTAAGGATTCGTTAGGCTGGATGTTCAACAAACTCGATATGAACTATGACCTCTTGCTGGATCACTCGGAGATCAATGCCATTTATCTTGATAAGTACGAGCCGTGCATTAAGCCCCTCTTCAACTCCTGCGACTCCTTCAAAGACGGAAAGCTTTCAAACAACGAATGGTGCTACTGCTTCCAGAAGCCAGGAGGTAAGGCGTTTGGTTTTTATGGTGTAAAACTGATGTAGACCACATCACAGTATGGATGCTGAAACATTGCAGCAAATGCCATCCAGTAAAGGTGTCAGATCTTTAGACACTGTCTTTATTACTGGTGGTGTTAGTAATGATTAGATAAGACAGGTATCAACTTACTACCTGGGGTGCCAGTCATCCCCATGCATGATTCAGAGGACTAGACAGGATGTCAGGAAGCCTCAGGCAACACATTCCCAAACTTGGATGCCATGATAAGATGCCGCAATAAGATAGGGCTGATTTTTAAGGAATAATGAGGAAGCCACGTCTGGTCATGAGATCTGTGGGATTTCCAGCTGCTTCATACTTTTGAAGCTCAGCCCCTGCATTTCTGTGCCCAAATCTGGAATTAGAAGCTTAATTTAGCTAAGCAAGTTTGCAGACTTTGTCTTAATTCTTCCCGTGGCTCAGTGTAGGCATCTGTAAAATGGAATTAGCAACATTTACCCATCTTTGTGACATGTTCTTATAGCTACAGAGAACAATATAGATGGCTATGATATAAGCACTGGGGAAAACTGCTGTTTATAATGATCTCCTATAAGGTTATTGCAGGATCTGTTCCCTGTCACTCTGTTATACCCGTCAGTCAGATTAATATTACAAAATAATACCACGTGGTTTAATGCCTTGCAACTCTCTTTAATGAGGAACCATCTCTGGTTTCTCTCACTCTCTTTTTTTAACATTTATATAGTGTTGTTGTTTTTTTAATTTCTTTCCCTAGGTCTCTTCCTCTTTCTTATGCCTTGACTGGCCTGCCAGTCATGTCAAATTGGAAGTTCATCTTCCATTGCATTAAACAAAATATGTACCCCTCATGAAAAAAAAGACTATAGTATAATGATGGCAAATATCATGCATGAATGTTATGTGTCCCCTGACTAAATGTGTTGCAGTGCTGAAACCAAAAAAAAAAAGCAGCAAATTAAATTGCTAGCACTCAAAATCAAGGAATGTGTTTTATTGCTAACAGAAAGTGGATGAACTGGTTTTCGTATTAATGTGGAAATTAGTTTATTACAAATCATAAATTAGAAACCTGGCCTTATTTCAGCTCGCTGAAGAGAAGGAAAACCCATCTGACAACCAAAATGGCCCCCATACACTATTTGCAAGTATAGCGTGGTGTGCATTTTTTAATTAGTGGAGCTAATGACATAAATTTGTTTTGCTGTACAGTAAGAGCATATGAGGCTCCCTCGTTCTCAGGTGTGCAGTAGCCTGTATTTCGTGTCAGTAGCAAAGGCGGTCATTAGAGAGTCTGTCCTGGACCATCTGGAAAGTGACTCTCGTACTTTCTATTTAGGTCTTCCTTGCCAGAATGAAATGAACAGGATTCAAAAGCTAAGCAGAGGGAAGAGTCTGTTGGGTAAGTTCGATTATTTGCCATTCATTTAAATACCACATTCAAGCTTCAGCGATTATTGTTAATTTTACATGCAGTAATAGTTTTGCAATTAGAAACTAATGCTTTTAGGTGGGACTACCACACTACAGTGTGTTCTTAGCACTTCATGAAATTAAACGCGTAGTGAGACAGCAGCACTTATAGCAGGTGTTATGATGGCGACTACATCACTACGCCTGGAGGATACAACTGCAAGGATATGTATTTTTATTCAAACATCCTAAGACTGGTTAAAAGTGGCTTTGTATGTAGTCAAGAAGAGTTCAGATTTCCTCCAGACACAAGATAAGAAGTACTTTTCGGCGAGTTACATTTTATTCTAATTGTACATTTAAATATTTTGCTGCAATAAGCTCTGTCTAGCCTCAGAACCCTGTATAATACAGTAGCGTTTGGTTTTTTAAAATCTGAACAGCCACATGGTTAAATTAGTAGTGCTGTGCCACTAACGTTGCATGTTATTGCTCTGTCTATTCGCCGTTATTTTAGTATATTTTCTGCCCAAACGCGTACATTTCAGTGAAAGTGATTTGGTGCCAGTTAAAGTGCACTTGGTTACAGTAAGGACAGAGATGTCATTGGGAGTTTGCCTGACTTAAGACTTGGTCCGTAAATATTTAACCAGGTATAATTAGGCAAAATGCACAACACGCAAGCTGCCTCTGTGTTCAGTGCAGCGCTGCCCGCAGAGGCAGATTAGCCACCTGTGTCCATTTACATACAGTTGCCCAAGGTCAGAGTACTCTGAAAATTTTAGGGGCCATGAAGACAAGTGAAGTAACCCTCCAGAGAAGGAGGCGATAGGCCTTTTATGCCAAGTAATGAAACAGCAAGATGCTTATATTCGGGACTAACATGACGCCCCTTCCAGCTCTTTTCCTGCTAAATGCAGAATTTCCCCCATTGAAGATACTGGGTGTTTTTACACGTGCTCCAGGAAGTGGTGCCATTGGTTTAATTAGCAAGCCGTGCTAATGAAAAGCGCCTGCACATCACATTTATCAGCATCCTTGTGTGTCCCCCTGCTGAAAAAATGGCAGCAGGGCACTTTGAACTAAAGCTCATCGAATGTCTTGTATTTCAAAGCACCCCACCACCCTTTTCTTCAGCGTGGAGACATGTGAGGACACTGATACACGTGGTGCAGAGTGCATCAGTTTCCATGCTCCAGCCGACTCAGTTAACTTGGACGAGGGGGTAAAAAGGTGGGGAAACATTTTCAGTAAATCTAAGATTTCCCAGAATCCTGTAACGTTGAAACTCTGGGTTCTGATTCAGGTCTATTTCGAGACAGACGCATGCCATTATACTTGGTTTTCAATCCGGGAACGTGAAACTTTCCTAGAGGCCAACTGGTATCCAGTTCAGCCCTGTCACTCATCCATAATGTATTTGCATCACGGTTACAACCAGCCCGTGTCAAAGCTAAGACACCCGCACTTTCATGGCTATGGAACACAAACACATCGTCCGGTTTTCTGCACGCACCAGGTCAGGCGCAGGCTGTTGCAGAGGAAGTCGCTGTGTTGTTCTCCCCGTCTCTTGTGGAGGCTTTCTGGCTGTGATGTCCAAAGCCACCTCAGACATTGGGCATCCCAACTCCTAATTGTTTCTAATGGGAACAGAGCGTCCATAACCACTCGGTTTTAGAATCCAGCCCTCTGCTTCTTCCTCCTCTGTTGTTCTTTACAAGGTGAAATAACTCTCATCTAGGCTGAAAAATAGATGACTTGTTCTGACGTGGGGGGAAATAATGACTGTTTAATATAGAACATTGCATTGCAGTGATCATATCACAGGAGCAGGCAAAATAAAACCAGTGTATAATGTTCACTTAGCCCCAATACCCAAAGACCACTGGATTGAAGAAAAGAATAAAATCAACTAAGTTTAGCAAATCAGCAGGTATATGTCATATAGAGCTGTACAGGCTACAAGCAAATACAGAAAGGAACTGTTTGCTTCAGCTAGTACCTTGAAAGTATGCCTGCATAATGACACCCTTCTGTGAGCTGCTTATCTGATCACGTTGCTATTTAGACAGAGCAGAACAATGTTTTTTTCCCCTGCCTCCGTTGCAAAAAAGCATGCAAATGGAAAACAAAAATGCTGCTTGTAGCAGCAATGAAGATAAAAATAAGATATGAGTGCTATCAGAGAGGCTACCCTTTTAATTATTCTCTTTCCTGCTCTCTCTCTGACACGCTAAGTGAAATATTTATATTCCAGACACTGTGTATAAGGAAGACTTTTGTAAACTTGTGCTCATTGAGGAAAAACGAGGTCTTTGGGCATCTTTTTTCCTTGATGCTTTACAAAACAGATGACAATTGCAACAGAATACTTCAAAGCCATTGCCATTAGGTATGTTGAATTTGGAGGCTTTCAAATCCAATCCATCTTCCCAGGGGACTGAATTAAAAAGTAAACAGCCCTATGCATCTGCGCCTACCAGATATATCTAGGGTACAATTAACTGTAGAGACTGTACTTTTAAAGAGTGTGTCTGTGCAGCCTGATAATACTTCTCCTGCATCACCAAGGTAATAAACCTCTACTTCCATCAGCAGCCTATCCAAGCAATTTTAGTTGGGGTAACAGCTACCACAGAGATAGACACACTACCGTTTTGCTCAGCAGGAAATTCTGTCAATCTCGGGTACTTAGCTGGGCTCCTTATCATCTTTAACACATTTATCTTCATTATACTCTTGTGAAGAAAGGACCCATTTTACAGACAGGAAACTGAGGCAAAGTCTTAGCGCTAAATCCACAAAGGAGACTTAGCTGTTGCAATGCTGCTCCACTTTGCATGACGTAAGTAAATAGTCAATGGATTGGAAAAAAAGAGAAATCAAGTAGGACGCTATAGCTTATTGGTTAAGGCACTCAAATGGGAGAGGAAATATCTCAGTTCTACTCTCTATTCTGCTGAAAACCAGATATAAAACAGGAAGTGGCAACAGGAGGAATTGAGAGTGCCACTCTTGCTCCACCCCACAATACCCTCAGGCCTCATGACTCAGCAGAGCCCATGTCTTCCACCTAGAGCCTACGTGTGGCTTCAGCCACAGAGGTACTGGATACAATGGGAGAGCCCACAACACGTCCAGGTTGGGTTTGTCTTCTGAGAATGCCTACCAGGATGCTCAACAGGTGAACTAGGCAAAGGAGCGCATCTTTGAAGCTCACTAGCACGCAGCCTGAGATAATCAAGTCACTGGATGACGTCGCATCCACAGCTCAGTGCTAAGCCCTGTACAGGCATGCCCAGGAGCAGAACTCTAGGCACATACAGAGGTTTAGCGTTGGAAACTCGGGCGCCCACAAACTCCTGGCACCTTAAGGGTTAGGCAGTGAGGCTTTTAAAGATCAGCATTTTGGACTTAGGCACCTAACGCAGTAGTTAAGCCCACAAGCCCTTTTGTCGCTCTGATTCTAAGTGCATTGCCCGGAGCACACAAGATGTTTGTGACAAAGCAGAAAATAAACCAGCGTCTCCTATAGTCTCAGCTAGCTCTCATCAAAGTATCCTGAGCAGCCTATACTTTCTTTTCTGTATGCAGTACGCATGCCAGGCTGGTTCATGATTACTCATTTTCATTCCTGGGAAGCAATAGCACTGGCATAGGCAAAATTCTCTCCCAGTTCGGTGGGTGAGGATCATTTCAAGACTCATGTGGAAACTCGTGTCAGACGTTGCAGAACACTCCAGTGGCAAACTCCGCACTCTGGGAAGGCTAGTCTCTAATTCAGATATAGGAAGAGAGTTCAAATGCAAGGAGAACCAGAGATGCCGTGAGAATGGAGCAGGTTTGAAGCAGAAGGGTGGAAGGGTGAATGAGAGGTCGAGCCAAGCCAAAAGGAAGCACGTAATAAGGTTGGAAGCTGAGAGCGTGAGCAGGAGCCAAACAGGGGCAGACACAAAGGTGGAAACAGTTGGGAGGGGCAGGAGTTTTGAAACCAAACTGTGACTCATTTGATTGGCAAATGATTGGCAGCTTTTTAATGAACAGTATAGCCAATGAGATGGCTCCCTCCCAAACCCTCCGCTGTGAGGGCTCGGGCCTTCAGGAAAGCATGCTGATCCTACAGGGATGAGTGCTACATAAACACAGAACTGAGGATTGACACTGCTCTTTTTATGTTGGGCCAAACTAAAACCTGGGATCAAAATATTCATATGATGTGAGGTGTGTGAAAGTCATAGGGTATGGCTCTGGTATGTCTCTGTCACTACGTAACCAATTCCTCTAGAGGCATTTTTGTTTCATAGATATGTACGGTCTTGGTGACACTGCCTCCAGCAGGTGAATTTAGGGAGTGCGTGTGCTAATCTTGGTACTCAGCCGCTTGGCCAGTACACTGACTGCAGCATTCGAACCTCACATGTGCAACCTCACATCAGCAGGCTTGCCCCATCTCTAGCTCCTTAAGTAGATATTGAAAGGCTAAGTGTAAAAGCACATGCGAATCAGGGCCCTGCTACCCATTCAAATCAAAGCTGGGTAGAAACCAGCTATAGAGTTGTTACACATTTTCAAGCACTAACTTTATAGCTGGTTGGCTCTTTTGATAGCTGAATAGTCATTTTTATCATGTGATAATTGCTTTGCACATGTGGCTGGTCTAAATTTATTGCGCGATTAACCAGTCAGCATGTAGCCGGGGCCTTAGGGACCTACATTCCACTTGCAGAAGGGAAATTCCCCTTCTCCTATGCATCATCCCTTGACCTGCTTTGAGCCCTAGGTAAACAGACCTAAATGCACCAACGGTGAGACTCCTGAAGTTAGTGGAGTCTCATTCACTTGTGCACAAAGAGAGCTGGGGCCCTTGCTTTTATATACTGTGGGCACGTCTACATGTGCAGCAGACTGTGCGGTTGTTACTACACAGTCATTTAATACTTGCTTAAGCAAGTCATGGTTCATGCCGGGCGATGCTACGTCACTGTAGCAACAAGCTACAGTCACGTAGCTCGTCACTATGGCAACGTGGTGTCTCATGTAGATGCGCCCTGTGTCACGTGCAACAAATGCAAAGCATTTTTGATGCTTTTTGAGTGCCCATCATGGTGAATATCCAGGTTTGATGCAAAGACCAGATGTAATGAAGCTTCTGAAAAAAATGAATTCTGAGACTCATTTGTAATATGCTATGTTAGGGAATCTAAATGTAGAAGTACTAGCTCCCCTTATAACGTCATTTAGACTCGTGCATTAATCAATACTTGGAGGCAGATCATCTGTTGATGTAAATTAATATAACTCCATTGCTTCCAGTTATGTCATTTTATACCAGGGGAAGATCTAAGCTACATAAACTTCTCTAGGTTTGTGTAGTCCAAATCATGTCTCAGGGGATTTATACATGTGCTCCAGAGGGGCGGCTGGGGTGCTTTAATTAGTGCATCTCTGAAAGCCACACTAATTAGAAGTGCCCAGAGAGTCACGTGTATCAGCGTCCCTGCACTGAAAAATGGTGATGGGGCACTTTGAACTAAAGCTCATCAAATGAGCTTTAGTTTAAAGTGCCCTGCCACCATTTTCAGCACAAGGATGCTGATACATGCGATGCTGGAGTCTGCTGGATTGCGGTAATTACAACGCTCGATTAATCGAGTCTGCTCTGAGGCACTGTAATTATAGCACATCAGCGCAGCCTCCCTGCACATGTAAAAGAGCCCATAGTGTTTAAATAAGAAGAGGAATAGGCATGAATTTGGAAAGTCTTTCTGGGTAAATATTGAATTAAGTGACTTAGCGGTGAATTTGAGCTTCGAAAGCAGCATGGCTGAGCACACTCACTCTATTATTAGAATGTGAATAATAAAGCAAACGAGTCTTTGATCATCAGGAATATTCATCCTCTTTGCAGTTCTCCTGGTATATGAACACACCAATGGCATCTCTAGCCAAACGTGCCAAGACCACTGCTTTGGCTGGTTGAAACAGTACTGTTAATAAGTGTAAAAATGTTCACTAAAATCAGGTCAGAGAGAGAAAGATTAATGCTCAGATGTTTCAGAACTACATTTCTGACATTTAAAAATTGGACATCCGCTTTAATAGCTGCAGTGGGATTAGATAGGGAAACTCATGGATTCATAATATATGTGACTGGCTTCCCATTTGTATGTCTTTTATATAAGTAATTGCATGGCATTTGGGCAGTGCTTCTTCATTCATTCCTCTTCAATGGCCAATACAGTGGAAATAGCCTTTTTGATGCACACGAACAATATGCAGAGATGCTGTATACGTGGAACTAGTTAAAAGGAAGTATTGTGCGACCAGTAAATCACTGGCATCCCTGACAAAGGGAAAAGCTACTTTCTCAAAAATCATTTGAGACAATAGAGGTTGTTTTTCTGTGCTTGAAACTGAAGCAACCAGCAAAGAATGGAAAGAGACTATGCAGATCTCTCCGGGGAATAAAGCTAACTGATCTCTAAGGACAAGTGAGTTTTTTTCATACTGAAGCACATTTGCACTACAGCTACTTGAAAGTGGTGCGAACAATGAAAGAGGCTTCTCTTGAGAGCTTGCCTGTCTGCAGGCTCAAGAATGCACTACTCTCTCACAGGCTGATGCATAAGGGCTTTGTTAGACAAAAAATTTTAAAACTATTGTATTGTTCAGCTTCCAATCCCTGAAAAGCATTAGTGTTTCTTTTATACATGGGACTTGTAGTAAGTCTGGAGTTGTGCTTCAATTTGTTACGAATTAAATAGCGAGCAGATGGCAGATACCTTCCAGAGATCATTATCATGGTACACAAAGACTGATCTGATAAACAGTTGAAAGGCCTTAAATTAAAATGAAATTTGGAATTAATTTTGGCCTGGCTCTGGCTCTACTTGGAAGGAAACTGCATTTGAAGGCCAAAAGGAGATCTACGGAGAAGTTAAATCAGTGATGGGTTGTACCTGGTTCTGAGATGCAAACAGAGAGCAGTGAATCCTCAGTCCATGGGGTTGCATAAGGACTGTCTGTATTCAGGATCAGGTCCTCAACACAGCAGACTGGCAGGGAAGATCAGTGAGGGTGTAGAGCTATGCCCTAACCTTGGCTAAATACTGGCAGTAGTTGAACAGGATATGGGGGGCATACACTGCACTTTTTAAAGGGCAGATACAGCATACAACAAAAGAAACAGAAAAGGCCGGGTGTGTCCGATGGGTATGTGAGGAACTATTCTAATAGGGATTGTACCTGAGGCACAAAAGCTAATGCACCACCCATCACTCATGGCTGTGTCCAAGGGTGTAATTGGTTCGGTCTCCCACAGGCAGCCTTGCGCTGTAGAACATGCCCGTTCTCGTCATTTATCCACATCAGAACCACGTCCCCCCAGAGTCACCTGTGAATAAAGAGCACCTGATCCTAAAGCAAATTCTTGTCACCCAGCAGGCGTTTGACAGACCAGTTGAGTTTTGGTCACAAACAGCGCTCAGTGAGAGCTGAAACCTAAAGCACATGTGTGCCTTAGATTCTCCCCTCCACTTTCTCTTGAATTACTCTTTGCTGAATTTATATGGGTTTGGACAACAGTGATCTTTTTAGGTCTTCCCACATTAAAGACGTTCAACTTCACAGACAAGCAGAGCTCTGGGAAGAAGTCATGGAGAATAAGTGACCTCATAGATATAGCTGCTGCCTCTGCCTACACAACGACCAGAAACAGACAACAGATTTGCTCATAAAGGCTAGGGACAGAAGTTACACATCAACTGGTGTAAGTGATCTGAGACCAGTTTAAGCCTGCAACAGAACAGAAGTTCAGCGCACATACACCGCTTTCAAAATGGCCAAAACTGGTTTAAGAGAAACCTTGTTGAATGTAGTATCAGAGGGCACTTGTACACATGATGAAGTCACGATGTACACATGACAGGAATTTCCCTTTGTGTGGCTTAATGGCGTCACACATTACACGTATATGAGTTTTGGGGGTTTAAATGAGTTTGCACCATTGCAAACTAAACTGCATCCCAATGTTAGTTTGCAGTGTTGCAACTTGGAACATTGCACCCATCAGTCGGCTTGGCCCCCACCCCCACCCCCTGCTTCTGGTCTGGGCCACTGCAGGTATGCGGCTGCATTTCTGGAATCAAAAGTGAATGTCTGTTCACTTGCTTATCGGTTCAATCTACACAGTTTAGACTAACCTGCACAGACTGAATTGATTCAGCCTCGGGCTTTTTGACTGCCTGCACTTAGCCAAAGTGAAGATGATAATAACATTTACACAACTCACAGGGGTGTTGTGAGGCTAACTCCACCAATGTCTTTGGGACCTTTGGAAAAATGGTGCTATAGCACTGCAAAATATTACCACCGTTAAGGAAGATGGGGGCCCTGCACTTTTACCAGCCATGAGGTGGAGCATCTGAAAAGAAGACATTTCCCACAGGAAACAAAACCACCCAGTAATATGTTAGGAGGCCCCTACTTCAGAACATGCATTTGCATTTCAAGCATAAAGAAGAAAATCCTCTGCACTTCTCAGAAAGCAGAAGCATGTTTGAAATTGGAGCTAATACAAAGGCTTCCAGTTCAAGTGTGTTTGTCAACGGTTTTTTTTATGGTATGACTTTATTTGTTGCTTGTTACAGGTTAAAGAGCCTGTTATTTGGGCTAAAACCCCTACAGATTGGCCCAACTCTGGATTTTGCTAATAATGCTAAATCCTTACTTAAGTGTACTGTGTGGCCGCTTCAAACTACCACAGCAGTGCTAAATGCCTCAGTATAAATGAGAAATGAGTCCACAATGGTCTACTCTCTCCCTTGCCCCTATAAAAATGATGTGGTTTGCTTTATTTAGGTGCTTTCATTCCGCGATGCAACGAAGAAGGCTATTACAAAGCAACACAATGTCATGGAAGTACAGGGCAGTGCTGGTGCGTTGATAAGTATGGAAATGAGATCGCCGGCTCAAGAAAACAAGGGACAGTCAGCTGTGGTAAGTAACGGCACCCTGTCTAAGATAACAGAGAAATTAACTTTGTTGTAAGGCCTGCCACGGCGGTAAGATGAACTATGATAACAAAAAGGTGACAATGTAGGAAGCATAATTACCAGTGTTCAAAAGCAGTCGCACATTTTCCTGTTCACAGTCCAAAGGTGGCTGCATGTTCATGTACTTTCATTCCAGAAGACTGGCAGGTGTTACAGTATGAAATTGGGAACAACAATAAATGAGAAAAGGTTTTGCTACCAGCCTGGAAATATAGTAAATATTATTAAAATAAAGGATGTGAGGCTGTCGCGCATGGCTATTACCTGTATTGTTCCTTATTCAGCAGCTTACACTCCTGTAGAAGCTTCATAAATAAGAGCTTCCTTACAAATGCAAAGTGTAACTATGGGAAATTTTATAAAATAACAACCAAGTCCTTTAAAACTGTCAGTACTGCAGTACAGTTAGGCTGCTGACAGATGTTCAGCTACAGGCGCGATGGGATCTGAGCCACAATCCCAACAGTTGCACCTCCCGCATGCCAGGATATGTGATTGCGAGATTCAGGATCAGACCCAAATCTTGCCCTATTTGTCAGTGCCAGAGCAACAGCAAAGGTGCCCTACAATCAGCTGGTTTTTGGCTGGCTCCAGAGACCCAGAGCCAGCAACATGGTGATATTGGAAGTTATGGTGCCAGGCATGGCAGACGTATTTATAAGACTGCGAATGCATGCTAAAATTGTCATTACAATAGACACAGAACTATTTTCATTGACGATCAGCAGCTGACAAAGAACGCACCTGGGTGTGGGCCCCAATGTGGTCCTGATCCTGCCGAACATCAGCTGATCGGCAGTTGCAAGGGACCACAGTGGGACCCATTTGTGACCCAGTGCAGTCCACCTGACCTCACATTCATTTTAAAGCATGATGGAAGCCAGCCACAAAATGATTTCACCTGTTTTATGTAATGAATTGGTAGCTGGTTTTGCTTTCTGTTGTGCCATTAAAGGCATGAACATGTAGCCAGGTTACGCTTTAAAATGCAATTAAGTGGTTAATTAAGTGTAATGTCTGCCAGGGGCCTTATGCTCACACTGCCCCATAACTAGGCAAACAAGATTTAAGTGGAGTTTCTTCAGTGGGTCTCTATGGGGGTAGGATTGGCTGCTCTGCTTCCAGCAACAGCAGAGAAAGCAAACCTTTTGAAGATCTAAGAACAACATGATACTGGAAGTTGCTGTGCCAGAGTCAGTAGGTGCATGGACTGCTATGCAAATACAATTAAATAATTACAATAGACACATGAGCATATGGGAGGTGTTTCCACCCGTGGTTACAAAACCAAGCGTATAGAGTCCTGCTTGCCAGCTTGTCCCCACACCAACTAGACATGTACTCCAAGCAGGCAGGCAGCAGCCATGCGTGAGAAGACACAGATCAGCCTAAATTTATCTAGTGGCCCAGTTCAGATGTAGAAGGAGGACCACTCTTGCATACCTTTGTCCACCAGTGTGCCTCCAGCACCCACTAGCACTTAAGGCTGGGGACTTCAACTGGGGTGTATTGACTGTCCTGCTAGGAGCAAACTGGAGGTTTCTGGCTAGAGGGTCTTACCCCTCCGCTCAGGGTCAGACCGATATTTGGGGTCAGGAAGGAATTTTACCCCATGTCAGATTGGTGTGGATAGTGGAGGATTTTGCTTTCCTCTGTAGTAGGTGGCTTAGGGACCTCTTGAGGTATATTGGCAACATTTTAGAGAAGCAAGACATTGGCTGCCCTGGTTCCCCTGCTTTACTGGTGGCAGGGTAGGGTCTTAGGTCTGTGTTATGTCAGGTGTAACCTGGGTGGTACCCCTCTCCAATTGAAGGGATTTAGTGGGTGCACTATGGGAAGGGTAACCGCATATGGGGAAGCAGCTCTCCTCCTGTTCCCTGTAGAGTAGAGCTGAAACACCAGTGAGAACTGGACCATACGCAGTTTAATAAGGGAAGAACTGGATTGGGGTATAGCGCATGTGCAGGAGAGAATGGGGATAAGGTACATGCCCCTGGGTATCTGTGGAGGGGGTCCAGGGAGCAAGAGGGAAGTCAGTAAAGGCAAAGACAAACATACAGTTTGGGCAGAGACAAATGAACAAGAAAATATGAGGCTCAGGTTCACAAAATGTATGGTGCAGGTACCCCTGAGGAGGGGGTAGGGGAAGATGAAGGGAGCCCCTGCTCCCTGGTGGGGATTCCCTCTTTCCAGGGATTTATTCCTATATTTCCCCAGCCAGGAACAGAACCCTGCATTTGGGGGTTGACACATTTGGAAATAATGTTGACACAATAATTTCAAATGCCAAATGTCGGTTTTCTTATTCAGGATAAATTTTCATTTTTTAAATTTAATCTAGTATAAAAGTATGTTTCAATTAATACTTTAAAATGAAACAAAGCATTTTAAAAGGGGCAGAATAAAACACTTGGATGGACTAACTGGACTCTCTCCCGTAGATTTTCAGTTTGCAGCGTGTTGACATTTTTTGAATTCCTTTCATTCCATTTTTGGAAATATAAAGTTTTATCCTGAACCAGGATGACTCTTTTTGAATTTCAGAACTTTTCAGGTGAAAGGGAACTACGTCTCTCACATACCATGGATTTTCAGTAACAAAACACAGGTTTTTTTCGCTCCACATGTACCTCCAAATAACTATCAGATAATAATCATTTTCCTTAGACAGATGTCAACCAGAAATCTCGTAATCCAAAGCTCTGTATCTCACTCTTAATCCTGTTATCAAATTCCATTCATTCCTTTCCAATCACATGGCTTTGTACACACAGTAGATGAATGCTTGTTTTTATATGCACTTGTGCAGTACTTTGCAAAAGTTCCTGCTTTAAAAATCAGGTTAGTGCCAAAACTGAAGTAGCTTGAATAATAGGGATACTAACAAATGTTGATTCAAAAGTCTTTGGAGGTGCTGGGTAAAAGAATGACCTTTAACTCTTACCTATTTCAGAAGAAGAACAAGAAACCTCAGGGGATTTTGGCAGCGGTGGTTCTGTCGTATTGCTGGATGATCTTGAAGAGGAACATGAAGCAGCAAAAAAGGACAAAGAAGGGAAATTGAAGATTCATGTAAGAGCGGCTAATGAGGACGATGAAGATGAAGATGATGATAAGGATGATGAAATTGGTTATATATGGTAGTTCCCACAGTTCAGAGGACTCACGTTTGCACAATATTGCAAGTCACTTCATATCTCTGCAATTGTATCTAAAAATACCAGGCACAAAATATTCTCGCTCCACTGTTTAATTTTGTACAGTATATATAATTTCGGAGATGGGGTTTTTTTTCTCCAACTAGCTACTGTTTTCAATACGTTTTACTCCCTTTTTTTTTTCTGGTCCATCACCAGGGCAATAAGTTTTGTTTCAACAACAGTCCCCACAAGTCCCCACCACTA